AGTTAAATAAGACTCAAAACAGGAGTTAAATAGGACTCAAAACAGGAGTTAAATAGGACTCAAAACAGGAGTTAAATAGGACTCAAAACAGGAGTTAAATAGGAATTAAAAAAGGAGTTAAACAGAACTCAAAGCAGGAGTTAAAAGGGACTCAAAACAGGAGTTAAATAGGACTCAAAACAGGAGGTAAATAGGAATCAAAACAGAAATTTAATAAGACTCAAAACAGGAGTTAAATAAGACTTAAACAGGAGTTAAATAGGACTTAAACCAGGAGTTAAATAGGACTCAAACTAGGAGTTAAATAGGACTCAAAACAGGAGTTAAATATGACTCAAGCCAGGAGGTAAATAGGACTCAAACCAGGAGGTAAATAGGACTCAAAACAGGTGTTAAATAGGCCTCAAAACCTGAGTTAAATAGGACTCAAAACAGGAGCTAAATAGGAATAAAAACAGAAGTTAAATAAGACTCAAAATAGGAGTTAAATAGGACTCAAAACAGGAGTTAAATAGGACTCAAAACAGGAGTTAAATAAGACTAACAGGAGTTAAATAAGGCTCAAAACAGGAGGTAAATAGGACTCAAAACTGGAGTTAAATAGGTCTCAAAACAGGAGTTAAATAGGACTTAAAACAGGAGTCAAAATAGGACTCAAAACATGAGTTAAATAGGACTCAAAACATGAGTTAAATAGGATTCAAAACATGAGTTAAATATGACTTAAAACAGGAGGTGAATAGGACTTAAACCAGGAGGTAAATAGGAGTCAAAACATGAGGTAAATAGGACTCAAAACAGGAGTTAAATTGGACTCAAAACAGGAGGTAAATTTGACTCAAAACAGGAGGTAAACAGGACTCAAAACAGGAGTTAAAAGGACTTAAAGCATGAGGTAAATAGGACTCAAAACCGGAGTTAAAAGTGTTCCCGTCTAACTCCTAAGGTCTAACTTTGGAAAAATAGGCCGAAATTTCCATAAAATCACAGATTATTACTGAGTATTTATTTATAACTTAGATTCTCATTTGTTATCTAAGTGGCCTAAGAAATAAACGAGTAACGCGAGTTATTACAAATAACACGCGAATTGGCATGTTTATTTATTTTTTTGCAACTTTTGTTGAAGTATGAAATATAATTAGTAGGAATTGCATGGTTTAATAATTTAAGCTTAATAAACTCAAAGCTAGGTTTTTGAACAGATTTCTTGGAAAAACATTCTTTAAATGTAGACTCAAAGTTTTCCAGAGGGGGCACCCTTCCCCTAATTCCATAAAGTCTAAAATCCCGACGACTCCGCCCCTCCCCCGCCCACCCTTTAGTGATTACTTGATTCTGGAGACATACTGTCTGAGAGATTCACGGCCCTGCTAGCTAGGGTTAATCCCAGGGGGGGGGACCACGGGGACCATTCAAGGGTTAAGGGTTGAGTTGACAGGGCGGGGGGAAGGACCCGGGAGAGATTAGTTCACTTCATTAGCCCCAGATTGAGACTGATTAACCAAATTGAACGAATTAAGCAAATTAAGGTTAAGTTCCGCCATGACATCTCAGATACAGGATGTCAAGATAATAAATGAAAACTCAAAAAAAAAAATGGGGGAAAGCTTAAAAATAACAAAATCTAATAATTAAACCAATTGATGAGTTCATTTCAGACCTGCAAGAACCTTTGAGATACACAAGTTTCATAAAAAGTATATTTTTTAATGATCTTGAATTTTTTGGACATCCTGTATACCCAAGATCTTAACAGATACATCAGATAATTAGAAGCAGACCTGATTCATCCCCAGATTTGTAAATTCTTCATTCCCAATTTATCCCCAGATTTGTAAACCATGCATTCCCAATCTATTTCCAGATTTATAAACTATCTATTCCCCATTCATTACCAGATTTATGAACCATGTATTCCCAATTCATCCCTAGATTTATAAATTATCTATTCCCAGTCCATACCCAGTTTAGTAAACCATTCATTCCCAATCCATTCCCAGCTTTGTAAACCATATCCAATCCGTTCCCAGCTTTGTAAACGATGTGTTACCAATCCATTCCCAGCTTTGTAAATCATTCATTCCCGATCTACTCCCAGATTTATGAAATATTCATTCCCATTTTAATTCAAGCTTAATTCAACTATATACTACTAATTACATACTCTTCATTCCCAGCCTAATATTGCAAATTACAATTCAATCCCATATTAAAAATAAAATACACTTCATTTCCAGCTTGATGGTATTACAAATTACAGTTCATTCCCAGCTTAGTATTACAAATTATATTTCAACCCCATATTAGTAAATAAATACCCAGTTTAATATAGCAAATTACAGTTCATTCCCAGCTTAATATTACAAATCTATCTTTGTGTTAAAATTACGCTTTATTCCCAGCTTTACATATTACATTTACCAGGGTAATCAAGGTGTTTTAAATCTTATATTACGGACGGTATTTCATACAAAGTTGTAAAATTACACCGTAATTCTCATATTGTCTTCTCCACATTCTTGTAAAATATTTATCGAATATCCCTGTATTCTCTATCCTCCCCCTGTACACACTGTATACCCTGAGCTCTAAAACATTTGTAAAAATATTTTCTTCACGCTCCGATGAGTTACAAATAGTCTGGGACTCACATGAGTAAAGATCAGAAATGAAAGAATCTTGAGTTTACTCAAATACTAAGTATTTAACGCTTCCAATCATAATGTATTGATGGAGTAAAGAGTAAGGATGGAGTAAAAATGCGGTTCCATATTCTTCACTTGGGGTTAATTCCCTACCCGGAGAAACCATATTCTTCACTTGGGGTTAATTCCCTACCCGGAGAAGCCATATTCTTCACTTGGGGTTAATTCCCTACCCGGAGAAACCATATTCTTCACTTTGGGTTAATTACCTACCAGGAGAAACCATATTTTCCACTAGGGTTTAATTCCCGACCCGG